CCTGAACTGGCCCTCCTCCAAACTACCTCACTACGCTAATGGGAAGACTTTGAATTCGTCTAGATTTAACGGTAATCAACCCTCTCTATACGACAGGTTTTCAGTGGTATCAGGACTCGAACTCGTGCCATGTGTATTTTCTAAGGATGATACTTAAAAGAAATCAATCATATATTTTTTGGAGGGTCACCGTATATCGTTGCCGATCCGCACACCACAAATTGAAAATCCCTGCAGTAAATTAAACTAAACGTAGGTTGACTGTAATAATTTGATTTCGATTTTGTAATTGAACACTGGTGTAGCTAGTTCTGAGTGGACCCCGTATCAAAACTCATTCGGAGCCCCTTTTTAGAAACGAAGGCCCTCTTAGTGGTACAGTAGTTACATATCTTGGGGGCCCCGTATCACTGATACGGCGGTAGTTACGCCCCTGTGTGTAGTGGGATAAAAGTAGAAAACTAATGCCAGTAAAAAAAATAAATATATAATGTCCTTGTAGACTTGATAGGAAAGACATATGGACAAACATTGGCGCACACAGGAATTGTTGAAGGGGGGGGGGGGGCCAGGGTCGAAAGTCCACCCTTCTCGTATCATGCTCCAATACGCCGCCGAACATATTCTTTTGATTTTGTCTATTTTCGAGAAAATTAATAATAATAATCGAATGAATAATTCGCATTAATTATTAAATTAATTTTTTATTTCAAATACTTAATAAAGTTTTACGTGCAAAATGCATGGCATTATAGTCAATCGAAAAAAAATCAAGGACTTTTTGAACGGATTCAGACCCCTTGTGGCGCCCCCCCCGTGTGTGCGCCACTGCTTGTTACTCCCGAAATGAAAACAAATACACCCTAAACTATAAACAGTCCCGAAAACGCGCTTTCTCGCCAAATGTAGCACCGAGTGGCGTGTAGGTGTGCTGAGTGGTGTGACGTCACGTGCATCGTCCCCACGCTGTCTTGCACCGCGCGCGCATCAATGGAAGGGAGGGTGAGTTGAGCGGACGTCTCTCCGGTGCGATTCCTCCTGCGAAGCGTCAACAACATCCCCAATGCCACTGAAAAAGGTTAGTGGGCCGTTCTAAACGACGGCACGCGGTGGTGTGTGTGTTCCGAACGAAAAAAAAGGGTGCATTTGCTCTTTTTCCAAAATAATTGTCTGTGTTTACATCGAAAAAACAGAACATGTGCTAAAAAAAGAATTTGCAAAAATATTTGTGTGGAAGTCGGCAGGTAAGGCGAGTTTATTTCCTAAACAACCCTTCTCTACTCCCCCCTGCACGTGGATATTGCATGAGAGAAGTTTTGCTCGATTATTTATTTGTTTTGTCTGCTTGTGTAAGTGTTCGCTTCGAAAATCGTTTGTAAACAAACAATTGCATTACTTTGAAGTGTTAACCATATGTTCTAACTACTCGGATACGCACTTATTAAAAGCTAACTGTTTTTAATTAGTGTTGATTTTATATTAATGTATCATGTTATTTGTAGGCTTTGATCTAGCACGTCTTGGTCTGGTGGTGTAATATTGTTTTACAAGTGTGTAATATGATTTTTTAATGTAGTACTTGATGGGTGAATTCGTTATGAGAACTGTACTATAAATTTGCTTTAAATTGTGGGGAAAATACTCTCTCTACCTCTGATAATCAAATTGATAAGGAACATTTAGTTTGATGCTTTAAAATGATTAAAAATATTTGCTTATTAAAATGATAATTCGTGTATATAATGCCTTTTTAAAATGACGAAAATTTTAATGAAGTAAAAACAAATAATTAGCTTTTTAATATTTTTATCGAAATTTATTCTAAAAATTTTCAGAAATTTTTTTTGATTTCTTAGAAATGCTAAAGTATCTTGTTCTTTTTATTTAAGGAATTTCTGAAACATATAGAATTTTATTAATAATCACAGTACTTTTGGAGGGAGGGGGAAATGTAAATTATCTGAACTGCACTCTTAAGTGTTTAGTTATTAATAAATCTTAAAAAACTAAATTGCTCTTTTACTTTAAATGAAATCGATTCTAATTCTCTATTAATTGATATATTAAGACAGTCATATGTTTTTTAAAAAGGGCTACACCTTATCTAATACTTCTTAAAAAATAAAAAAAAAACTATTTATTTTCGGATTTGTGTACAAAAAAAAAAAATGATTTGATGTACATGGAATTTATTCAAGCATAATCAGAGTATTGATAACTGTCATTTATTTACCAACAACTTGACTATTTTTTAATACAGTTTTATATAACATTTAAATTTAGAGTTGGATACTTTTTAGAATGTTTTGCATATGTGTAAAAAGACTAATACTTTTATATAATGTTATGTACACAATTTTGCAAAGTGTAAGTTTGTTTTTATTTACCACATTATGTATGAAAGACTTAATGACTTATGAAGACTGAAATAGGACTTATCGTTAATTAGTTATAATTATAAAATAAGAACCAAATAATTCCATTTATATATTTTTTACCTTATAAAAGGAGCAGAATGCTCTCCATAGATATTTATAGAGTTAAAATGTTTGAATTATTGATATATTGAAATCCATTCTTAAATATTGATTCATTCATAAATAGGCAATATGTCTTATCTCTTTAGAAATTAGATCCAAACATTTTTATTTCAGTGTGTTTGGTTTTGTTTATTATAGCAATGAATTATTTTGTTGAAAATGTTACCAGTATGTGAATTTTGATACCATTTGCATAATTAGTACCACCCAAACTACATTTTTCTTCTGTTAATCAGTAACTATCATTAAAACTAATTTTACACTTTGTTTAACAATCACGTTCTTCGACTAGCTTGATCCATACCGAGAACAGTACGAATTTTTTCCTTCTCATTTGCGAATTTGCTTCAAGTTTTAATTTAAAATTAAGGAATACCATGCATATTTTATATAGTGCCAATTTGCTGACTGCATATTTTTTTTAAAATGTAGACAGTCAAAAAGTTTACAACTTAATCTGATATATCTGACAGTAAACAATTTTATTATATGGGCTAAACTCGAAAGAGGGTAAACAGGAGAAAAAATAGTATTTATCTGCTTAAAATAGATGCTGCATCACAGGAGCTAATATTACATCAAATTCCGATTCTATCCCTGATCTCGGAGGCCTTGACCGTAACATTGATAGCGAGTGGATGATAACGTTAGGTGGGAGAAAAGCACTGAACCAAGTGTCCCAATATTCGTTTGGATAGCTTTCGTGCGAAACCTTTTTTTTTTAGTCGGAGATATAAACATGTACATACAAAACATAATAAACATAGGTGTTATTATTCTTCAAAGTTAGATAAATATATTATTTTTTCTGACTGCATACAATTTATTTTTGATAATATTGATTAATAAGCACTGTATATTTGTATTATAAATCTCTACTAACAGTCACGAGCGAGAAATAGGGAAGTGATGAAAAATAATTGATATGCTTCGGAGAAAGATGAATATTATTAATAGTAACTCTAGCGATAAATGATGGAAACGATAAATGTTAAATGAATAGTTATTACGGTTAAATATTTATCTTAAAGTCGCTACTGTTTACGCTTATTCATGCACTGACTCAAAACATTTATTCCGGTGTGTAAATCACATGAATGCTATTAAGTGTATATTTATGTATCACCATACTTATTTTCTAAACAGTAATAAAATATTTTCAAAATATATGTAAAAATAAATTTAAAACTCTAATAGGAAATCGAATACAAAATAGACTCATTATAAATATGTAGGTATAAAACTCAGTCATTCTAAAACACTTACTACATTCTAAACACTTTTGTAACGACTTAAAAAAAAACATCGATGGAAACAATGTCTGATTTTTAATGTTTTGAGTGATTATTCTTTACGAAAGATTATGAACTTCAAAAGTGAGGAATTTTAAGTTCTAGGACGTTTTTTGTCCAAAATTGAATAATGAGGTTGCTACATGTTAAATACAGTGGAACTTTAAGATGAGTCGCATCCATTCGATTAACAAGTCCAAGACAATTTAATTTTTTGAGCCACCATATCAAGTCGCAGTGTCCGAGAGGTAATGGTTGCGAGAAGGCGGAAGGATGTCGTTTCTGTCGTGGGTACGAATCCTGATGCCATTTTGGACACACCATGCAAGTTTAAATTTTTGACGTAGTACAGTAATGTGTTAGCCGGGTGATTATGGTCCCAAATTCGTGACTATTACCGAGTCATGAGTTCGAATTCTAGTGTCACTGAAGATCCGTGGCTGATGCTCAAAAAATTTGTCGTGGCTCAAAATTCCTCACCTTTGCTTGGTGTAGAAATTTGGAGAGGAAGGTGCCTACTCAGATATCATCTTCGTCATGCGATTGTAGCTCAAAATTACGAGCAGTCTTCTTTTGATGGGGAAAGAGGGTTACATACAAACAACTAATATTAAAAAAATTAAGTCAATTCCTACTTAGGTCAACAAAGAAAAAATTTATTTTAGATACTTTTTATTAAATGATTACAATGAATATAAATATGTTTATACATCTGACAGAATCGCAATATTAAGTGGCAAAATAGAAAGCAATTTTTCCATATTTTCCTATTTATATATGGTGTTGGACTATTTTTTTGTTTGTTTTACTATTTATTCATTCATTAAATTTAATTATTCCAATAAAAAGAAATCCCTTTTTCTGAGAAATTAGGGGGCTGCGGTAGCCCAGTGGTTAAGGTATCGGACCATGGCAGGCATGTCATGAGTTCGAGCCCATCACCACTAAAGACCCGCCGTGTAGGGCAGCGATGCACGTTAAATCTGTCGAGAGCTGAAACGTCCTCCCGTTGGTGTGGTGTGGTAGTTAGGAGAGGGGGGTGCCAGCTCAGGTGTCGTCCACGTCACTTGACCATGGTTCAAAATTACGTGGTCCGTCGCCAAAAGCCCTCGTGTAGCTGAACAGTGCGACGTTAATATTCACTCACTCACTCACTGAGAAATTAGGCTATCCCAGGTAGGATTCGAACCCACGACCTTTGGATTAGAAGTCCAACGCGCTACCTATTGAGCTACAGGGCATAGCGAACGATTTTCATTTCTATATCTGCTGTTGGACTATTATTTCTGTTTGCTACTATTAATTCATTTAATTTAATTAATGTATGAATATTTGAAAAAAAAACTGTATTAACATCCAGTGTCATCCACTACAAGTTTTAAAAAATATATATTTGAATTTGAATGAATGAATAGAGAAAGTATTTTATAAACAATTGAAAATTTGAAAAATATATATATATATATATATATATATATATATATATAGGGAGATAGTGAACTCTAATAGAGTAGGAATTGGAAAAAGAACGTAGACGAAAGCACCGAGTAATAATCTGCTTAAAAATAAAAGCATGTTTGTTAATGGGGGTGAATCCCCAAATTCCACGCCACTGCTCTAGTTGTTTTTGTTGTTTGTCTTCATCAATGTACAATCCGTAGATCAAGTTATATTTCGTGTTTCATTCAGGCAGTCTTATGATCAAGACTGATATGAACTTAATTTTGGACGTTTCAAATTTCTTACAATGCAGCAAATATTTTTGTCCGTCTAGGTTATTTTTAAGTAACTGTGTTTATTTACATTGAGATAAGGCAAGTCTAAAGAATTTCCCAGTTCTCCTGCTATTTCCATGCGTTTATTGGCATGGTGAGTCTAAGTAAGGTTGATAAGAAGTGATGCGATGGAGGATGTGTCTGCGAATCTTCCTTCCCGATAACCCGCTGCTCTGTGTCTCGAGAGATATTGACACGACCCCATTAGGGTCTATTGATCTGCGATGAGACATTACCATTTAAACGTATGGTATGGAATGGTCAGCCAACCACAACATCCGGAATCGAATTTCTGCTTTAGAATCATATTTATTCTTGTGATCACAAACATCTTTCTCATCTAGGGTAAGGGGATAATGAGGGGGTCTAAAAGAATATTTTAAGTTCCCTATGTATTTTGAATTGTTTTTGTTACATTATATATATAATTTTTTCATTTGGAATGAATAATTAAAGAACTCTTAAAGTATACATCGCTAATAAAGAGGTTAAATTGTGAATGTGTTCATTGAGGACATTAGGGGAACAAAATTCCTCTCCTCCCAATTTTTTTTTCATTGATTTTAGTAAAACTAACTTTTTATATATATAATTACTATAAAATGCAGTGTATAACGCGCAACTATACTTTCAATCTGCGTTTTTTTAATTTTTAGGTATATTCGCTGTGTAACGCGCACCCGGAACGTCTTAGGACTTCTTGAGGCTCCTACATAAATGGACCCCTACTCAAAAGTAGGCACTGAGCCCCTACACAAATGTAGGCCCCACATATGACCCTTAAATTAGACAGTACACATCATGCGTTGTCAAATATTCGAACAAACAACCCGAAACAAATAAATAATACATGATTTACAATCGCACAAACTGGCTCGACCGACCGCCACTTCTTGACTGAAGTAGTAAGGATTATGTATTGTGATAGGCCTTGGCCTATACATGGACGACGATCATCAC